TCTGCATACATCACATGGCTCAGATTGTTCTATTTTTCTTTTCTCACAAGTATTTTTCCAGCTACTGAATTCTCTGCCCACCCACATTTTTCAGGTCTATATGCTTGTTCGTTTTTTGAGGCAGGGTCTCAATGTCGCCCAGGCTGGAGTGCAGTGGCTTAACAACGGCTCACTGCAGCCTTGACCTTCCAGGCTCGGGTGATCTTCCCACCTGAGCGTCCCAGGCGTGCGCCACCACACCCAGTTAAATTTTTCGTAGAGCCGGGGCTGGTGGGTGGGGGAAGCGGTCTCGCCAGACCCAGGCTGGTCTCGAACTCCTGGGGCTCAGGTTATCCACCCACTTAGGCCTTCCAAAGTGTTGGGATTATTACAGTCGTGAGACACCACGACAGGCCGCAAGTCTAATTTTCTTAGAGTTAAAAACACAGAATTCATCCAAGTGTGCTTCAGTGCCAGACAGGGTTCCAAACTGGGTGTCCCGACTTTTGCACAACACGTGCAGTAAGCCTGTGGGTGAAAGTACAGACGGCTCTCTAAGAGCCCAACAACCCCTGGCCTCTGTGCTTATGCTTACTCCCCAGACCAAGGGTAGGTCGGCCTGCCTGCTTGGCTCTTTTGCTCCCACTCACGGCTCAATTCCTGTCACCCTCTTACATTTCCTGGTCTTCTTTCCCGCCACCCAGCCCAGTCCTTCCCCTTCCAGGGCAAGCACCTGACTCAGAAGACGCGGTCGAGACACGATGCCCCGCAGATCGATGTAGATGGGGGAGGAGAGTCCGCTCTTCAGCACGAAGTCCCCAAACTTGAAAGCCTGCACGTCGTACAGACCCGTCACCAAGGGCCCCAAAGCTGCACCAGCGGCCGCCATTGTCGCGCGCTGCCTGTTTGCTTCAAAATCCCAGGCGCAGCGGCCCTCCGGCGCCCCGAGACGCTGGCGCCCCGATGACGTCGCCCGCGAAGCCCCGCCTTTTCCGCTTGCTTCGCCGGCAGCTTCCCGGGCTTGCCGCACTCGCTTCTGGGTTCCCCCGAGCTCAAGGGTCCGTGGCTGGTAGCCAATCTACCGCCAATTTGTGCCTCTCCTGCTTTCTTCTGGATGGGGTCGCTGGGTTTCAAAGCCTCGAGCAGCTAGTTTGACTGTAGGATCATTAAGTCCAACCTTTATGAGAGTTTGCATAAATCCTGCTCGTTTTCTAACAGCCGGTGCATTCTCGACTAGTTCTCTTAATTATCTATACTCCTTGGCCCAGCAGGTTATAATTTGCTAGTTATTAGCCACGATTTAACCCCCATGTTTCTCCAAATAGAATACAGCTTCTCAAAGACAAGGACCTTGACTCAATTCTTTTATTAACTTCATAGCATCTATTTTGTGACAGTTTCATAGCAGTTTGCACATAGGAATATATAGCACCTAGATCATTACAGTATTCGTTACCTCTTTTGTCTGTACTCTGCTTCCTGGTTTGGCATATCTCAAATGCTTAGGTAATAGGTGTAGAAAGGTAAGGGAGGGAGGGAGGAGAGTTAGAAACCGTGAATTGATTGGTATCAGGGTTATTCAGGAGGATAATATTGCTAGACAATCTGAAAATCCAAATATATTTGGTCTTTACAAATAAATCCCTTAGAGAAGTTCTCCATTGTGTATATAAGGCAATACTTTATTCTAGTTTAAGGAAAATAACCCTTAAATTCACATAAAGAATGAAATCTTGTTATTCACAGCAAGGTGGATGAACCTGAAGGACATTATGTTATGTGAAATAAGCCAAGAACAAAAAAACAAGAAAGATAAATACCAAATGTTCTCACTCATATGCAGAAGCTAAAAAAGTTGATCTCATGGAGGTAGAGAGTAGACTATTAATTAGTAGAGGTTGGGAAGGGTAGAGGGTGGTTAAAGGATACAAATTACAGCTACATAGAAAAGATAGGTCCTAGTGTTCTATAGCACTGTAGGGTGACTGTAGTCAACAATAATTTACTATATATTTTCAAATAGCTAGAAGAGGGGATTTTGAATGTTCCCAACACAAAGGAATGATAAATATTTAAGGTGAGAAATATATGAATTACTCTGATTTGATCACTATACATTGTGTGTATTGAAATAGAACTATATTCCCAATAAATGTGTACAAGGATCATGTGTCAACTATAATACTTTTTTAAGAAAAGAGGAACAGATAAGGCATAGCAGTATTGTGTGCTGCAAAGAACATGAAGTTTCAAACCAAAACATTTGGGTTTTAGTCTCAGCTGTGCTTACTGGCTGAGTGATCTTTGGCAATGCATTTTGAGCTATATGAGTCTCGATTTTCTCAAAAATAGAATTAATATTAACTTTCTTCAAAGATCACTATGAAGATTCAGTGAGATAGTTCACTCCAAAACACCTTATAGGGCCGGGTGTGGTGGTTCACACCTGTAATCCCAGCACTTTGGGAGGCTGAGATGGGCAGATCACAAGGTCAGGAGTTCAAGACCAGCCTGACCAACATGGTGAAACCCCGTCTCTTAAAATACACACACACACACACACACACACACACACTCTCTCTCTCTCTCTCTCTCTCTCTCTCTCTCTCTCTCTCTCTCTCTAAAAAGTTAGTAGGTGGCTAAGCATGGTGGCTCATGCCTGTAATCTCAGCACTTTGGGAGGCTGAGGCAGAAGGATCACCTGAGATCAGGATTTGAGACCAGCCTGGCCAATGTGGTGAAACCCTGTCTCTACCAAAAAATACAAAAATTAGCCAGGCATGGTGGCACATGCCTTTAGACCCAGCTACTTGGGAGGCTGAAGCAGGAGAATCTCTTGAACCTGGGGGGTGGAGGTTGCAGTGAGCCAAGATCGAGCCACTGCACTCCAGCCTGGGTAACAGAGTGAGACTCTGTCTCAAAAAAAAAAAAAAAATAAGCTAGTGGAACATAGATTGTATCAATTCATTTTGTGTTCTCCATTTCATTTACTTAGGCTGAGTAAAGGATCTTGACTCTAACCAATACTTAGTCTTACAGGTTTAGGTATTTAACCTAAAGAGTTTCCTTTAATGTAAAACTTCATGCAATAGTTCAGTCTAGAGCCTTTCCTTGGACTTAGCTCCACACACACACACACATAAACTGCTCACTGAATCCCTTGTACATTCTACTCTGATATCTATTTTAGACCGAGCTTGGGGGGGTTCAGATTATCATTTGTATTGGGGCTTTTGCTAATATTCCATAACTGAATTGGTCATTCCTCTCAACCACTCCCCCTCAAAAAAATACAGGCTGAAGTACTGTTATTTAATCATTTATTATTGTTTGACTCACACTATACAGACACAGGCACGGTGAAACACACAAATACACATTTAGTTTATCTTCTAGGGCCAGGGGCAGTGGCTCATGCTTGTAATCCCAGCACTTTGGGACACAGAGATGGAAAGATGTCTTGAGCCCAGGAGTTTGAGGCCAGCCTGGGCAACATGGTGAGACTCCATTTCTTCAAAAAAAATAAAAAAATTAGCTAGACATTATGGCATACACCTGTCATCCCAGCTACTGGGGAGGCTGAGGGAGGGGGATGATCTGAGCCTGGGAGGTTGAGGCTACATTCAATGAGCTGTGATTGTGCCACTGCAATCCAGTCTGAGTGACAGAGTAAGACCATGTCTCAACAAAAAATGTTATCTTCCAGTGAAGGTCTTAGTGACCTTGAGCAATCACGTAGATCCTGTGACTCAGTTTCTCTACTCCAAATGAAATAAGTTACTTCATAAGAATTTGTTGGGATTAAATGAAATAATAGTTACAAATGGGCTTTTAAGCTATATAGATGCTAAAATATATACAAATTCTAGATCTAAAAAAGCCAGTAAGGGGCTTATGATTCTAATTCATCAACCTGATTCTGATTTAATTTCTAATATTCTTTATTATCTATATTTTCTCTCTCTTTTTTTTTTTTTTAAAGATGGGGTTTCACCATGTTGGCCAGGCTGGTCTTGAACTCCTGACTTCAGGTGATCCGCCTGCCTTGGCCTCCCAAAGTGCTGAGATTGCAGGCGTGAGCCACCGCACCCAGCCATATTATCTATATTTTCTCTAAGGAGATTGTGCTGATGAACCAATGTGAAGAGCCCATGCTTTTGACAAGTGTTTCTCATTACAAATAAATGTAATGAAATCTTGATGAAATAGAAGCCAAATGTTAAAACTTTTTTTTGACTTTCTTGGCAAAGTAAGCTAATCAAAACACTTTAACAGTCTGGCTAATTGACAGTATACCATGAATCAGCCTCATTTGCACTTGGGTGGCACATTTAAACTTTCAAAGCCTGATCATGTCTGCATAGGCTAACCTAGATTGCTGGAGTCCACACCAGAATGTATAAACCTGTGAGAACCAGCCCAAAATATCCTCCAAACATTCTAACAGTATTATCACCTGAAACACCAGTGTGAAATTAACAACCACCCGAGGCTTTCTTTTTTTTTTTTTTTTTTTTTTTTTAAATAGGGTCTCACTTTGTTGCCTGGGCTGGAGTGAGGTGGCATAATCACAGCTCATTACAGCGTCTACCTCCTGGGCTCAGATGATCCTTCCACCTCAGCCTCCCAAGGTGGGACCACAGGTGTGCACCACCACACTCAGCTAATTTTTTAAACAATTTTTTAATATGTGGGCTATTTGGGGGAGGTGGGTGTCGCCGTATGTTGGCCAGGCTGATGTCGAACTCCTGAGCTCAAGATCCTTCCTCCTTGGCCTCTCAAAGTGTTGGGATTTACAGGTGCTAGCCATAGCACCCAGCCCTGAGGTTTCCTTGGCATGTTTTGGGTAAATGGTTTAGAATACTCCACTGCTTTCTTTCTAAAATCCTGAGCAAAAAGTGTTGTAATAATTATGTGATATTTTTACCTTTTCAAAGTCTTTCATATATTTGGAGAAAGAAAGAAAAAAATTACTCTTTTCTTTGAATAAAGGTTTAATTAGAAAAAAAAGGACGACCATATAGTATCTTTAGTATAGTATATTTATAGGAATGCATAACATGTGAGATGTACATTTTGAAGTTTCATCTATAACTTATAACATTGACTGTAGCAGAAACAAGACAGCAGGTCATCACTTTACAACATTACACATGAGTGATTTTGACTTACAAATAAAATATTTACAACCTACCTTTACAAAACGACATTGTGTGCATACAAAATGAACAACAGCAGAAAAATTTAAAAAATAATAAAACAACCAAAAATCCAGAAGATACACTTAAGGCAGACCAGCAAGACACTGAAATAATTAAGGCTGTGGAATTCTTCTGCACCTTGAAAATATAGAGCTATTTATCAATACTGTGGAGTGATTTTAAATCAATTGTTACAAGCCTGATGAAGTATATACTTATATGTATATGTGTGATGGTCCTTATGGGGAAACCTGTCCACTTATGAATAAGGCCCTTTGTCTGAATGGCCAGTGAAGCCCACTCCAAATTCTCAAAAGACTTGGGGGCAGGGGTCACTGAAAACTAAGAGATGCCAATACAGTTTGCAAATTGATAACTGATAGTTCAACTATAATGATGAAGTCCAGATAAACAGAATAACCTAACTGATGGCCCCTTTATGTTTCACACTGTTAGTTTGGCTTTGTGGACATCAAAAGACAGCAAATTAATTCCCAAATGAGTAGAGTTTGTCTCCACAAATTAGCCCTAATGGTTTTGAATGGCCCTAAATGGTTTTCCAATAGAAAAATTGACCCACCTGGGCTGTCTGCAAATGGATAGATTTCTGCATATGAGCAATAACATATACATACATATTATACACTATATACATGTACAGATGTACATATATCCGTATTTTCCAACAGTTTGCACTTTGACCACTACTGTTCTCTGAACAGGATCTCATTCTGAAGAATATGTTTAGTTTTTTTCACAGTCTTCTTATTTGTTCTATTAGTTTTACTCACCTTCCCCATAGAGTAGGCTGAAGTTTGGCAGAAACAGAAGTAAAAGCACCAGGGTCAGAAAAATCAAACACAGAGATGACAGATATGGCTTAAGTTAGTAAGAGACAATGTATGTTTTTTTAATTTCAGATTCCTAGAGACAGTCTTTGAGGTTATAGTAACAGTCTCCATCGTACTCCAGAACGTGGACTCAATTCTCGACGGAAGTCAGGTATTGATGGAAGCTCCTATGCTGGCTATCCCTGGGCCAACAGATTAGCTTGGTTAAACTAAGCCTCAGGGGCTGGCATTCCAAGAATTGCTATTTGCATTTCTTCTACCATGCTTCCTTTTCTCAGCTAACCTCACTATCTGAAATAGCAGTTATCTAGCTAAACTGTTATCTTGATCATTTGAGTAAAACCTAAATCTGAACACACTTTAGAATCTCACAGCAAATGGGCACATTTCTCACAGAAAAATGCAATAGCCTGCGCATATAAATTTCAGGCTTTTCATAATGTCCCTCAGTGATGAAAAGTTGCCTTGGAGTGACTGCTTTTTCCTCTCCTCTAACTTTATATTTATTGAAGATGAGGAAGAAATGCCTTTCATAGAAAATATGTTCTTATGAGAATTGTGTTCTCCTACTTCTGTATAAATTTTTTATGTAATATTTCCTATTAAAAACATTTAGTGCTATAAACAAATTTCAGCCCTTTTTAACCCTTTAGAATTAATGAAACAACTGAGAGTCTTACTATTTTTAGAAAATAAATATTAACATAGTGGCTTTCCTTTTCTGGATGAAACATGTGTGAGCTCTGTCTTCTCCAGGCTTACCCTGGGTTTAATCATTCATCCTCAAATCATCCCTAGACTTTAAATAGTGAAGAAAAAGCAAGGTGCAGTTTTATAAATAAATCCACTGAAAGGTCATATACTGTGTTTGTCTAACCCAGACTCCACAGAGGTGCGACCCAGGAGAGAAAGGAAGGTCTACATTCCTCAAAACTCATCCAGCACAATTCATTGTCCACACTGAATGACATGGTGAGTTTGAACTTTGCCCCTCTACAAAGACCTCTTATTTACAAAATATTTCCTCCTCTATTAAATGCATGAGGCAAAGTTTTAGTTAATGCACAGAAATAACTAAAATTTAGTTTATATTATATTTACTTCCTCATATTCTCACAAATCTAAATTGCCATGCTCTTCTACAGAGGCAAGAAAAAAGTAATGCCTAACTCATGGGATCTAATCATGGGGGTTATGGGACAGCAAATATGCAACTCCTGAAAGACTAAGCCACCTTAAAAAAAAAAAAAAAGATTCAAGGTTTGTCCTCCAAAAATGAACAGTCCAATTCATTTCTATGCATTTAATTTGCCTGTGCCTTTAATTTGCCTCTTATAATAGATTCCTGTGAGACTGTAAAAAATAAATTGTGATATGAGAAGATGTTTTCTTCTCACTTCTGCCCTCCCAAGTGAGGAAGATGGTTCTTGGGTTCTTTTCTGTCTGTTTTTCCAGAGCATAAAGCTTGAGAAGAGAAGGTAGCAGCTGCTTTTGAGGGTATTTTACTCTTTGCACTTGCCATAAAAAATACTGGAGAAAACGGCTTATGGACATAAGACTTCATCAGCTCTCCTGACTCTTTTCAGTAGACAAGCTCTTACATGATCGAAATTGTAGGCTAAGACCAAATAACACTTAGACAAAGAGCACCTAATACTTCCAACTGAAAGCAATTTACAGAATTTAATCTGAAAGCAATTTGCAGAATTTAATCTCATGAGTTTATAAATGGTATTTAAAGATGTGAATATTAAAAACCTGGAATGTTCAAAGTTACTATCAATAAAATTCTTAGCACTGGCAGTGTATAGCACTTTAAAAAAATCAAAGTATTTCATAGATGTCCCAACCAAGGTTATTTCTCAACATTCCTGTAAGATTAATGTCCTTCCTCCTTCCCCATCCCCCAATTCCCATTTTACCAATGGGTACATTTGGGGAAGAAAAAACAAAGACTTTCTGTAAGAAAAGATGAATCAGGAATAGCTGAGATTGAAGCTCAAAAATTCCTGGTTCCACCCCTATATTCAGATGTTTGCATTTACAAGACGTTTTAAAATAAAGAAAAAATGCTGCAATATCAGTAAATCTAAATGCAATGAACTTCTTTATCTCCCATCCTCCCCTCTGAAAGGCACTACTATTTATAAAGGCTTTGTGGACCACAAAGCAGTGAAGCTAGCATTCTCCTCTGCTTCCTCTACTCCCCCTTACACTCTTTATGGCTGAGAGAGACCTGAAGGACATCTCCACCATTACCATTTGTTTTCTTAAAAATTTTACCACATTCAGCTATACTTGGATATTTATCTATTCAATTTGAAACAAATGCAAAAGATGTAGGAAATCATTATATTAATACTTCTTAAAAGTTATTATGGGTTGTCCCTGATCTTTTCATTCTTTCTGTGTCCCACCCTTATAAAACAAAACAAAAACCTCGTAACCCTATGCAATGAATATAAGCCATGCAAGAAACTTGTGACCTTGACCATTGTTTGTTTTTCTCATTTCAGCTGGGAGTTCAGTCTCACTGTGAACTACCATCATTATGATAGAAGTGGACTATTTTCTCTTCTCTCCTCTCTTCTTTACTACCAAGTAATAAATCTGTCTGCCAAAATGGGAACAAGAGTGGTCCCTGATCCTTCTTCCCTAACCATGGTTGCCCTCAAAACAACCTAAATTACATTTCCCAGGTCCATCGTCTGGAATTCCTTGTTATTTCCAGCTTGCTCTGGAGAATTCTTGAACCAAGACTATTCTCTTATCCCTGTTGGGAGGGACCAGGAGCCTTGCAGACAGGGAACCTTCCTGTTAGTTTCCCTATGTTATCAAACTATATAAAATATACTCCCTTTCTCTTGGGACCTCTATTAAGTTCATTCTAGTCTGATGATTGTACCTTGGCCCCAAAATCATCCTACTTCATTTCTAGGTCCCTCGTTTCCTGTCTTCTCACTTCCCCAGTATGTGTACTTGGGGGAATTCCATGCAACCCCACACTTGGATCCTTCCAACGCTGTTGTAAAAGCTGATGTGAAAGCTTGGGTTCTGTCTAACATTCTGTCAGCTGCCCCCATAACATAATTTCAACAACCCCCCATTCCCCTACACCCGTCATGGTCTATGCATTACTGTCCTGGGCCCTGGCCTTCTCAAGAAGAAACTCAGCTTGTTATAAAAACTCAGACTGGCTCAGCAGAGGGATCTTGATTCAAGTCATCCACGGTGGACAGAACAGAACTTGCCGAGCCAGACTTTATGGATATTGGGAATCCTCAGAGCCTGCAGTCTGTCCCATGACAAACCCTACAGGTTGGACTTTCCTCCTTTATGTGTATACCATAATGAAGACATGTTTACTGAAAGGGTTTTAGTAAACATGTTTACTAAAAGGATTTTTAATAAAGATGTTTTAAAATTTTTAAGCATAATGAAAATGTTTACTAAAAAAATTTACTAAATATGTTTTAAATTTTAAAAAATTTCAGTAAACATGTTTACTAAAAGGATTTTTAGTAAGTATGTTTTAAATTTTTACGTATTGTATCATAGAGTGTTTGTACATACATAAAGGTTCAAATGAAGACTATAGGGTATAGTTAAGAGAGACCTCTGAGGGAGTGAGGCTTAATGACCCAGGGCCGTTTGAAAACTAGAAAACAAATATAGTCAGATACAGTCGGAGTCGGTTTCCATATATTTGGTTAATCCCCAAAATACTAAGTGCTATCTAGTCTTATTGCTTATACTTTCCACTAAGGTAACAATCTATAATCTTGGATGGGATGAGGAAGCTGACTCTGAAACTGATAAGAAAAAAAATGATGATGATTTTTAATTTTACGTTTCCACCATGGGAATAAGTGTTTTCTTTATATGTTAAAGTTCAGGATTAGTTTCCACCATTTCTTTTTCATGTAGATAGATTTGTAGTTTCTATTTGTCCTTCATAAGTTCTCTTCTTGAACCTCTGTACTGCGAGATTTTAATTTTCTCTATCCCATTATAGGAGAGAAGCAATGCCATTAAACCTGATTCGAACAAACACTTGAGTTATATTTTTAAAATCTTACTTGTATAATAGCATTTCAACACGCATTCTAGAAAACTAAGGATGGATCATGTACAAACACAAAAAACAAACGCCCTCTCCCCCAACAAACAAAAATAAAGAAAGAAAACCCATGAAGCGCCCAGGTTTAATTTTTTTTTCCACCAGAGGGAAAAAGAGCAGTTAATAATAATCTTGTATGAAGAATATATACCAGAAAGCAGCATTGGCCTTAAAGTAAAATTAGTCCCTTTAGTTCAGAGAACTATCAGCAGCTGAGTGGTAACAGGTATTGCAATCTCAGTTACAACTTAATGTTCTGTTAGGGTGATGTATCAGGTTTTGTCCCATGGCTTTAGAAAGGACTTAGGGCCAGGCCTTTAGAAGGCCTATATGGCTGCCTCCTTTTAGTAAGCACCCCTTAGCTTCAATAAGGAGTTAGAAATAAAGCCAGCTAACTTTCTGAAAGACTGTATTCTACAGCCGTAGAAGAAATCAGAAAGTATTGGTGTGTTGTTCATAGGAACCGTAGGAGAGGTTTCCATTTGCCCTTTTGTATGGATCTCTCATATTCGTTTACTTATTTCAAACCCAGTGTAGACACGAAAATACTCCCGCAGCTCATACTGTATTTGAACTTATTTCCCCATAGGCTTGCTTGCCCGATTAACTCTGAGCTACCAGTGAATTTGCAGGTAGTGTTTCATACACAGAAAGAACCTATCTTAATCAAAAAACCTGTGATTGACAGAAAAAATCTTCTCATTCAAAAGGGCAACATTGCTTTCTCTTAATGCACAGGTTCTGGTAAAAGATTTCTATACAAGATTTATAAAATGCTCTAAAAAACTTGTCATCTAATTGTGCTTAGTCAAAACAATGTAATGCTTCGGTAAATAAATTACTGTCTTAACTGGAGCACTCAGTTCCTTGTGATTGATTTAATATATATCTCTTTATATTAGAAAACTCTGAAACCTGAATGGGATATATTATACTGTATGCGTATATGTATCTTATTAAGAAACTATATCTAAGTTATCTAAACCAGAATAGTTGATATACATGACATCTCCACTAAATAGAACTTTTTGCTTAAAATTTCAGCAAAGCCAGAGACCTTTTACACTCTTGTGAGCTTAAGGTTTGCCCAGTTAACCACTCATTTTGGAAGATACAGTTAAAATTTCGTAACAGCTAATATTGTTCTTATCCTTGCCCTTCTTCTGAACACTTCTGTGACCCTTTGCCTCTTTATTTCTTCAGAATGACTTTCTGGAAAGCTCCTGGATTGCGGGTGACTTTTCCTGCTGCTCAGAACCTGAATAGCTATTATCGAGGTTTAAGAGGTACATCTCTCAAATCAGAGAACTGCGTGGAATGAAATGACGAACAGAATTATTTACAGTCACATTCAGTCTTGCTTTGGTTCACACTGCACTTCTATGTGAAACCATAGGGGCTGGGAGATAGCTACGTCCCTTGGTTCACCCGGTTGACAATGTAGCTCTTGACATTGGGTATAGGCCGTACATCATTCTGGTGCTTGCGGCGTTCTATGAAGCATGCTAGGCGGGAGGTGTCCAGGGGGATCTTAGAGTAGCTGCCATTATGGGGCTGCAGCCATGGATGCTGTAGGCACGTGGCTGCTGTGGGCCGCCTCCGAAAGTCTTCCTGTAAGATCACATTGATGAAATCTCTGGCAGCATTGCTCACACCACAGAAGTATTCATGGGGAAAGCTGAAATCCACCCTGCATACGTTGATACATGTCTCCTCTTTGCTCTCATCCAGGAAGGGGGAGACCCCACTCAGCATGACATATGTCAGAACCCCAATGCTCCAGATGTCTGTCCCCAGGGAGACAGGGATGCCTTGGATGACTTCTGGGGCAGCAAACTCGGGGTTCCCCAGCAGGTGGTGAATGTGGAAGTGACCCGAGATCTGGACAGCATCCTCCAAGTCAATGAGCTTCACTCGAGGCACTGGAATCCGTAGGTCAATGAGCAGGTTTTCAGGCTGCAGAGATCCAAAAAGGCAGGGAGAAGAGAAGGGAAGTTCAGGCCTCTGTTTTGACTGCTCAGACCACCTCATTAATTCAGACATGGTTATGCTATTCTTTGATAAAGTCTACAGTGTACGGAAAATTCCCCATGCACTATGCGAAGTGCACTGGAGCCTTCAAACTATCATATTGAACTTAGAACTTAGTGCATATTGAGCGTGGTGGTACTTCAGAGAAGTTGTTTGACATTGAAAATCATGTCTTCTTAACTACACTGCTTCTGCATTGAATCAAGGTAATAATAAATTACTCATTTTGGAGAACAGGGGCTTCTTTTTGAGCAGTGTGGAAGACAAGGTGACATTTGTTGGCTTACTTCTATGAAGTTAGATTAGGTAGGTAAACTTCCCTACCTTTTCTCACACTGGATGTCATTGTGGCTCTGGTATATCCTAATTAATTCATGGATGATACACTTAAATTGTGTGACAACCCAGATTCTCTTTAATACTCATAACGGGATGAGTGTGGCAGCTCACTCCTGTAATCCCAGCACTTTGGGAGGCTGAGGCGGACAGATCACTTGAGGCTAGGAGTTCAAGACCAGCCTGGCCAACATGACGAAACTCTGTCTCTACTAAAAATACAAAAATTAGCTGGGTGTGGTGATGAGTGCCTGTAATCCCATCTACTTGGGAGGCTGAGGCAGGAGAATTGCTTGAACCCAGGAGGCAGGGGTTGCAGTGAGCTAAGATCGTGCCATTGCACTCCAGCCTGGGCGACAGAGTAAGGCTCTGTCTGAAAAAAAAAAAAGCATAATGTACTCTAAATAAAATGAATTTGAATTTATATTCCTTATGAATAATGACTGGTAAGTTGGACTTGACCATTTAAGGTATTCCTTGCAAGGTTCCCACTTCTTATTACCTTTATGTCCAAATGTGCAACCCTGCAGTTGTGAAGGTACTGCAGAGCCTCCATGATGTCTCGGATATAGAAAGCTACTTTTTCCTCCATCAGTTCATCATGATTCATAAGGTAGTCTAACAGCCGGCCATCATCCATCCTGAAAGTAGGCAGGGAAAGGCAAAGGAAATATGTTTGAAATGAAGAAATAGAAAAATAACTCATGTAAAAATCAGTTAAGATCTCTAAGCTCTCTCATACTCCTTGTTTTACATGAAGACCAAATGTACAACACATGCACATTTTAGTTAGAGCCCAAAGTTAGTGTAATGTTCAGAACTAAAGTAAATATAATATATTTGGTGTACTGCAGCGAAGAAATCTGTATAATCTTGTTTAAGAAACATTCTCTTTCATTACCTCTAAAAATTGCTCATAACAAAAAAGTTGTGACGCCCATTTAAGAGGTGAGATTGCTAAGTAAAGAAAGCCTTCACCAAGAGAGACTTCAGCAACATTCTCATTAAACATAACATAGTAGCTGCAAGCAGCCCCACATGTGTTTTGCAAAGTATGTCTTAATTTTATTTTATTATTAATTTTAGAGATGAGGTCTCACTGTGTCACCCAGGATGGAATGCTGTGGCACAATCATAGCTCACTGCAGCCTCGATCTCCTGGGCTCAAGTGATCCTCTTGCTTCAGCCTCTCACATAGCTGGGATTTCCGGAGGAGGCCACTGCACCTAGCCAAACTATTTTCATTTGTCAATTTTTAGTTGGGGAAGACAGAAAGTAGGCAAAGTTTGTTCTTTGCATTATTGATCCCCCGTCCAACTTTTTTTGTTTGTTTATTTGTTTGTTTTTGAGACAGTATCTTTCTTTGTTTTGTTACCCAGGCTGGAGTGTGGTAGCATGATCTGTGCTCACTGCAACCTCCACTGCCCGGGTTTAAGCGATTCTCGTGTCTCAGCTTCCCAAGTAGCTGAGATTACAGATGTGTGCCATCACACTCAGCTAATTTTTGTATTTTTAGTAGAGAGGTGGTTTCGCCATGTTGGCCAGGATGGACTTGATCTCTTGACCTCGTGATCCACCTGCCTCAGCCTCCCAAAGTGCTGGGATTACAGGTGGAGTCACCATGCCCAGCTACATTCATTTCTTTCTTAGTATTTTTCATGTTATGTTAAAATCATCATCTATCTATTGGTCTTCCTCACTAAACTTGTAACTCTTTGAGGGCAAAAACAGTATCTCCCCCTCCACTGCCACCTTTTTTTTTTTTTTTTTTTTTTTGAGATGAGTCTCACTCTATTGCCCAGGCTGGAGTGTGGTGGTGTGATCTTGGTTCACTGCAACCTCCACCTCCTAGGTTCAAGCAATTCTCCTGCCTCAGCCTCCCAAGTAGCTGGCATTACAGGTGTGTGCCACCATGCCCGGCTAATTTTTGTATTTTTAGTAGAGATGGGGTTTCACCATGTTGGCCAGGCTGGTCTCGAACTCCTGGCCTCAAGTAATCTGCCCACCTTGGCCTCTCAAGGTGCTGGAATTACAGGTGTGAGCCACCATGCCTGGCCGACAATACCTTTCATTGGAACACAAGGACAGATGTTGTCACCTGTGGATGAGGATAGTTCACTGGCAATAGAATACACCATTTGAGTTAGGAAGTTCCCTACAAACAGGTCAGGCTCTGAAAGAGACTGTTAAGTCTAAAGTGACAAACTGCCAACTACTTAACTATATAAAGTTAAGTTTCACAAAAGGATTATGGATGCTAGCAGCACTGGTTTTGTTCTGTTTCTTTTTTCCAGCTGATTTTAAAAATAGCCAAACTTGTTTGCATTTTTGCTTTCTTATTATATCATAAATAAATTTGTGACAAGTTACTGACTCAAAGATCCCATACACACACACCTAGACTAACAAGCACGTAAGAGCCAGGCTAACAAGACAGTTGAAAGATGGAAAATGCAGGGCATTCGCTACTGAAAACGGGTTATGGTGGCGACATACGCAGCAATGGTCTTTGGCAGAAATGCGTCTCCTCTCTAGGCCAAGGGCCTCATGAGCACCAATCTGATCATATTTCTGTCATTTGTATCACTTCTGAAAAGACCCTGTTCTCTTTAATCTCTATAATATTGATCTAAACCACAGAGCATACTGTCTCTTCTTAGCCCGGGGTAGTGGTGGGGAGAATGGGATGTTATTGCTCTATCAAATCTATTCAGGAGTCACCTATATGGTTGCCTAAGTCCCTAGAAAATTTGGAGTGAGTGGAATGTTTTGAAGGTAAGGCTCTCCCCTAGAAGGAATTTCTTGGGTGGTAGACTGGAGATGCTATGGTGGTCAATTGACACATAGAGCCCTCTCTTTCATTTCAACTCCACCCTGTCAACCAGCCTACTGTCGACAAGCTATTCCCAAACTCCAGCCCAGCCCAAGAGTCCATAATAAAAGAAGATAAAAATGGAAGTAAGAGAGATATGGGTTCAAGTCCTAGCTTCTCCATTCCTAGTCTTAAGGAGCTAGTTTTAAGGACCTCCCTTATCCCTATTATGATTTTTTAATCTTTGAAATGGAAGTGACATTGATTATAAAATGGGGGAGTGAGTGCATGTTATATCAGCACTTTGCAATGATAGGACCTTGTATAAAACATAACTATCTTTTCCATTAATTGTGGGCAAGAAATAACCTAAATGGATGGGGGCCACTTAAGAGAGGCAGCATCTGTACTTACAGTTCCAAAATCAGGATGTAGGATGTGGGGGACTCGTAGGTGTCATGGAGAGTGATGTACTGGGGGTGCTGTAGGTGCTGAAGCAGGGCAGCCTCATGGGCAGCCTGTTCTTTCTTCTTCATTTTTTTGCTAACAAATTTCACAGCCACATCTTTGCGGGTAGCTTTGTGGATGCATTTCTTTACTATAGAGAAACGGCCTCTGGAAAAACAAAAGGGAGAGTTTGCCAACACTCATCAATCAACTACATATATTTTATTCACAGATGCGTAAAGTTTTGCATGAAATGGTCAGATAGATTTTATTAGGAATCTTACTCTCCTATATTTTTAGTTATAATGTTATTGAGAAAATCCATTTTTTCTTCTTTAGCATTTTAGGGTTTTTGAGATATGAAAAACTAATATTTTATATTATATATAATTGTATTATAAATTATATTTTTATATATAATATAAATCTTATTTTTAGAGGCAGGGTCTTGCTCTGTTACCCAGGCTAGATAGAGTGCAGTGATGTGATCTGGCTCACTGGAGCCTCAGCTTTCCAGGCCCAAGCCTTTTGCCTTGGCCTCCCAAAGCGCTGGGATTACAGGTGTGAGTCACTATGCCTGATGTAACTAATGTAATTTTTAAATTTTTTTTATTATTTTTTTTAAAGACGGGGTTTCACCATGTTGGTCAGGCTAGTCTTGAACTCCCAACCTCAGGTGATCCGCCCGCCTTGGCCTCCAAAGTGCTTGGATTACAGGCCTAAGCCACCACACCCAGCCTAATGTAATTTTTTTAACTAATATTTTTCTCTGCCATTTTAACCATCAAAAGCAGTTCAGTTTTCTAGGCAGAACATATATTTCTGTGAAATACAAAATAGAAATAGCAATAATGTTAAAGGAGGAGGAATTCTACTCAATAATAATTTTAAAAGCATTTTTATTATTATTTTTCTCCTTCTCATACGTGCCAGTTCTACTTCCTTCAAGGTCTAGCACAAATGCTACCTCTTTATGGGGCCATGACATCATGAAAAGATCAAAGACTGTAGAGCCATTGCAAATCAGATTTTTAAAAATTTCAATATGTTTCTGGGGAACAGGTGGTGTTTGGTGACATGAGTAAGTTATTTAAAGGTGATTTCTGAGATTTTGGTGCACTCATCACCCTAGGAGTGTGCACTGTACCCAATACACAGTCTTTTATCTCTCACCCCCTCCCACCCTTTCCCCCAAATCCCCAAAGTCCATTGTATCATTCTTATGCCTTTGTGTCCTCATCAGCTTAGCTCTCCCATTAAAAACATTTTTAAAGAGTCAATTGTTTCATTTTATGTTTGTTATCTTTTTATTATGGAAAATTTCTAATATACACAAAAGTAAAGAAAATAGCGAAATAGATCTCCTGTGCACCCAGCTTCAATAATCATGAACATTTTAACCAATTTTGTTTCACCTTTCTCTTTTCTATCCCCTGCTTTTTTTTTTTTTTTCCTGGAGTAGTTTAAGCAAATCCAGATATAATGCCATTTCACCCATAAATACTTCAGTTTACATCCCTAGTGACAAGAACACTTAAAAATATATAATCACCCTGCCATTAGTACATCTGACAAAATTATCTGCTCCTGAAATAGAATGGTTCTCAGATGCAGCTGTTGCCGTGTGGAAGGTGGCAAGAGAGCTCTGTAGGGGCACAGGTCAGCAATGGGGCAGATGACGGGAGGGTCAATGAGGTGACAAGGCAGTGCCATCTAAGCCCTGCCCATGAGGTGTCCTAACCCACGAGCAGAGGAGTAAACAGTCTGAAGACCAGCCCATTCCTCCAACAGAAATGGGTGTGTCATGGCTACCATGAAGATCATCCTCCTTGACCTGGCTCTGTGCTCTACAAGCAACTTTCTAAGAATACTTTTTTTCCCGTCATATATTTGCATAAAATAAAACAATGTGCTAATGAGGCCAGGTGCAGTGGCTCATGCTTGTCATCCCAGTGCTTTAGGAGGCTGAGACAGGAAGATCGCTTGAGCCCAGGAGTTTTAGACCAGCCTGGACAACATAGTGAGATCCTTTCTCTTAAAAAAATTTTTTTTTAGGCCAGGCGAGGTGGCTCAAGCCTGTAATCCCAGCACTTTGGGAGGCTGAGGCGGGTGGATCACGAGGTCAAGAGATCGAGACCATCCTGCTCAACAAGGTGAAACCCCGTCTCTACTGAAAATACAAAAAATTAGCTGGGCATGGTGGCACGTGCCTGTAATCCCAGCTACTCAGGAGGCTGAGGCAGGAGAATTGCCTGAACCCACGAGGCGGAGGTTGCGGTGAGCCGAGATCGCGCCATTGCACTCCAGCCTGGGTAACATGAGTGAAAATCTGTCTCAAAAAAAAAAAAAAAATTTTTTTTTTAAATAATGTACTAATCAGTAAAACAAGTCTTAGACAACTATTTATTATCTATTATTTACCAAATATTCTTGGCACAGTAAACAAATATTTGTTCAAGCTGGCAGTTTTGTTTCACATCATAAATTAATAAATTGTCATTCTGGTTTTTAACAGGACTCTCTTTGTGAGTTTGATTATTGTAAGTCACTTCTTGCAGAGGAGTGAAATGTAACAATGAAAACAACTGAACGCTGAGGCTAGCTCTCCTGAATTTAGTGGCCGCGTCAAGGTACTGGTAGCTTAATTTTTAGAAAAAGTTTTGTAGTTGTCAAAGTTATGAAGCCTCATGGTTTAAAAAGACAATTATCATTACAGGTTCATTATTAAAAAAAAAATTCACCTCCATTTTCCCTTCCCTAGAGTCTCATTCTGTCACCCAAGCTCGAGTGCAGCAGGGTGATCTTGGCTCACTGCAATCTCTGCCTCCCAAGCTCAAGTGATCCTCCAACCTCAGCCTTCTGAGTAGCTACAGGTGTGTACCACCACATCTGTCTAATTTTTTGTACTTTTTTGTAGAGATGTCATTTTGCCATGTTGCCCAGGTCTTGAACTCCTGAGCTCAAAGCCATCCACCCATCTTGGCCTCCCAAAGTGCTGGGATTACAGGTGTGAGACATTGTGCCCTGCCTGAGAGGCAGTATAATACATCAATTTAATATAGTTTAGCAGATGATTAAAATATTTACTTCCATGACTCTCAATAGTATGCTTTGAGTAGCTACCTCTTGATTTTTCAGTTTTAGCTATTTCTGTTGACATCCCACTATGGAAGATGAAAGGTTAGCCTCTTTCCTCCCTCTGTCCCTGCCACATAACCACTATCCCCATCCACTGACCTCCCAATAGAATTAGAATCAATATTCAGTGTCTACATTACTGCACTATGTCCATGCTATTCACGGTTGAGCCTCTAGTAAACTATGGATGCTTTTCCTTTGTGTGATAGAATGCTATCTTCAATCATTTCTGACAGAGAGTGCATGGGAAATAAATTGAGACTTACATATCTGAAAATTTATACTTATTCTACCTTTATCCTTGATTGTGAGTTTTGCTGAGTATATTCCAGTTGGGAAAATTTTTCATTCATGATTTTGAAGGAATTATTCTGTTGCCTTCTAACTTCTATTGTTATTGGTAATGTTAACTGTTAATGTCAGGCTGGTTTCGAACTTCTGACCTTGTGATCCTCCCGCCTCGGCTTCCCAAAGCACTGGGATTACAGGTGTGAGCCACGTGCCGGCCTTCCTGAGAATTTTTAGATTCTTCCGCTTTTTGCAATGTTTAGCAATTCTAGATTGTATCCTGAACATTTTGAATGTTATGCTGTGAGACTCTGATTTTGTTAAAATCCTCTGGAGAAGGTTGATTTTTTGCTTCATTTGTATGCTTTGTTCAGCAGTCAACTTGGTTAGGTTCAGACTGCAAGTTCTGTCTCACCTTCTGTGGGAGGTGGTCCTATTGTCAGCTCAGTTTTCAAAGTGAGCACCACACAAGGATTAGTCTGAGATTAAACTTTGAGTCACTGAGCAGTGGTTTACATGGTAGTCCAATTCTCAGAGCCTTGCTATATTTCTTTGAATGTGCCTTATACGTGCGCAGCTGGAAGGTGGCCCAGGATTTGAGTGGTTTCATATAGAATTAGGAGATCTTCTTTTGCTTTCTCCTGAAATTTCTCCCACATTCTTTACCTCCCATGGGCCCCTTTTTTAAGTTGTCTAGCCAGAAAGATGGGATTCCCTCGGACTTTTAGCTTCCTGCACTGTCGTGCCATTTCACAGGACTGCCCTCGGGGTGAGGCAGTGACAGTAAGGAGACAGAGAGAAAAAAACCAAACAAAGCAGGAATTCCTCTGTTCTCTCCAGCTTAAAGGTTCACTTTTCTTTGTCCTTTGGCCAGAAATGTGGATTTTTCTTGGAGTTTTTGCTCTTTGTGCATGCTGCACAGTTCTTTGATTTGGCTCACACTTGCATCAAAGCTGGGGAGATAAAAGAGAAAAAAAGGAAAGAAGAAAAAAAGGGAGGAAGGAAGAAGGGAAGGAAGGAAAGGAGGGAGGGAGGGAAGGAGGGAAGGAGTGAGGAAGGAAGGAAGGAGGGAAGGAGGAAGGGAGGGAGGGAGGGAAGGTCGGTCCAGTTTTTTCTTGGATGAACAAAGACAATCACACAGATACTTGAAGCTGGGGAGCAGATCTGGAGTCAGCTTATCCCTTGGGAATGCTGACCAGTTGCCTGTATAGAATCTAAAAAGGTAGCAGCACCAGGCCTCCAGGTAAGGATGACATGCTGAACAATCATCAGTTTTCACTCCCTTCTGAGACACAACTTCTCAAAAAAAAAAAAAAAAAAAAGTAGCCAATCCTTTCGATTTTAGCATCCGCATTCTACCTAGTCCCAGAGGTACTTGATGCTCCTAATACCTGAGCCTTTGGGTAATTCTGCTACTAAAATTACACTGGGACTCTTTGACTTCATGACTGCCTGACTCAGGTCTTCAAGGCCATTTATCACTCTTCCATCTGTTTATCTGCATCTAATACTTTATTTTTGTCTTTTCTTCCAATGTCCTCATTCTTACATGCCTACTTAAAAAAATCCTTCATTGTAGTTTCAATGTAATTTAGGAGGAAGTGAAAATGGATGCCTGTGTTCAACCTGCCGTCTCACCTGGGGGCCTGGTACTGCTACCTCTCTGCAGAGCAACGGGTACAGGCAAGGGGTCAGCATTTCCAGTGACAATCCCCTGCCTTCTTTATACTGCATTGTTGCGTGTTTAGTCCATTCCTGGTTATCACGCCATATACAAGTGACCTTTTCTTCTGTGGATGTGCTGTAGGAGAGAACGTATTCCTTCTTGCACTGTGGTTTTTTATAGCATTTAATTACCAGGGAGCTCCTTTTAACAGAATAGTCACATAGGCCCAGAATTCCAGGTTTAGGTGTGATGAAGAAAGTCGGTTCACTTCCAGGGCCCTGGCACAGGTATCTCTCCTGTGTCTCACGTTAACATCTCCATGTATTATTTCAGCCAGATGTGGTGGCTCACGCCTGTAATCCCAGCACTTTGGTAGGCCAAGGCAGGTAGATTGCTTGAGCTCAGGAGCTTGAGGTTATCCTGGGCACACATGGTGAAACCCTGTATCTACAAAAAATGCAAAAATTAGCTGGCTGTGATGGCTCATGCCTGTGGTCCCAGATATTTGGGAGGCTGAGGTGGGAGGATCACTTGAGCCCGGAAGGTTAAGGCTGCAGTGAGCCGTGATCACGCCACTGCACTCAAGCCTGGGCAACAGAGTGAGTCCCTGTCTCAAAGAAAAAAAGAAGAAGAATTTCCATGTATTATTTCCAAGGATCTTCTGAAAATATGAGGACTATTCTTAGGAGAAAGGAAAAGCTTTGGGCTGTTAGATACTTTAAAGCAAAAACATTCATTACTTTTGAACAGATAAGAAAATTGATCTCCCCTTTAAGAAACAACAAATCATCCACCTGTTTTAGCTAAAACTTGCCTTAACCTATGGCTAATAACAGCAAACACATGTCTCCTGGAGGAATTAACTGAGGCATCCAGGTGATGGAACCAATTTCATTTAGAACCAGCTGGGGATTTAATTGGCCCATTATTGGGGGTCATGTTGAGCCTCACCAATTTCAATATAATAGAGCAAACTAGATTTCAATTACTAGAGCTTATTTTGGACAATGATCGACATGAAGAGAAACAACATTCTCAGTAAAACAAGCCCAGGCTTGGAGTTGGGTAGCCCAGAATTTGAATCCTGGCTCCACACCTCCTAGTTGTGGGGCCTTGAGAAAGTTACTTAACCTCCCTGAGCCTGAGTTTCCTTTACTGAACATATACTTCAGGCCAGGTGAGATAGGTGGCCATGCCTGTAATCCCACACTTTAGGAGACTGAGGTGGGAGGATTGCTTGAGCCCAGGAGTTCGAGACCAGCCTGGACAACATAGTGAGAACCCCGTCTCTACAAAACAACAACAAAAATTGTTTTAAGTCTTCCAGGTGTGGTGGTGTGCACCTGTAGTCCCAGCTACTTGCAAGGCTGAAGTGGGAGGATTGCTGGAGCTCAGGAGACTGAGGGTGGAGTGAGCTATGATAGTGCCGCTGCATTCCAGCTCTAGTAACAGAGACAGACCCTATCTCAAAAAAAGAAAAAGAAAAAAAGAAAAGACAATAAACTCAGCCGGGTGCAGTGGCTCAGGCCTGTAATACCAGCACTTTGCGGGGCTGAGGTAGGAGGAGGATTGCTTGAGTCCAGGAGTTCAAGACCAGCCCGGGGAACATAATACTCCGTCTCTATCTTTTTTTTTTTGTTAATGAAAGAAAGAAAATCTACTCAAACAGTATCTCATAGTGTTGTATAGATTAAATTAAATAATGTTGATGTATTAAGCTGTAGAGCTCAAACAAATAAACAAAAATAACACTTGTATGTAGTATCCGCTTAGTATCTAGAATACTATAGATACTGAGATCATCACTATCATCATCACATAACTTTCCTTGGCCTTTTTCTTCTGTTTGGCTACACAAAGAAGGCAGGCAAGGAGAGGTAGAGTTTGTTTTTGATGAAAGGTGCTGTAATGAAAGGCAGTGAATGACACTGTGACTCCTGCCCTAAGACACAGTAATAAGGACCGTTTTGGCTTCTTCTACAACTTCCGTCACAACCACCCCACTTAAGAAATGTTATAGGGCGGGCGCGGTGGCTCAAGCCTGTAATCCCAGCACTTTGGGA